TCAGTAGATTATCCTGAATATGTCTACATCTGAGTGCAAAGTTTCTGCCATGTGATTGGCTTATTAGATTATTTTACTTACAAGCAGTTTAACATCGGTGTTTAATTAAGTGGCCGGTGAGTTTATCTATTATCTATTATGCCACTTCTGACATTGTTTGTTTGTTCACCTTTAATTTTAAATCCACACCGTTGCCCTTGTCAAAGAAATGTGTGTCATGACACAGCAGATGCCTTTATTTGTTGTTTTCGTTTATGTTTAAGGTTAGCAACATTCAGATGCACTTTACTGTCACTGTAAGATATTACTTTTTCTGGTTTAACGATGCAATGAAAATTTACTTGGAGAGAGTTTGTTGTGATGGCAAGGCTATTTTCAGTATTATTACTTCAGTCTTTAGTGTTACATGATCTATCAAAAATCAGTGTTTTGGTGTTCTCTAAACATTTCCTGTTGCATTTTTTTGTGAACCAGTTATGGGTTCGAGTAAAATGCTTTATTAAATAATATAACATCTGATAAAACTTTTTCTTTTTATGCTCTTGGAAATACACACATATACACATATTATATCAGAGCTCTGGGATATTGAAGAAAATGTTCATTTGTGCTAGCATGGGACATAATGTTACAGTATATTCCATGCAATAAGATATTTTTTAAGAATGTTATAACCGTCAAATGTTTCATATTATTTTAGGAAAACGAAATTGCAACTTCTGAGAGGGAACAGTCATGTTTCACTCTTGCATACAACAAATAAAACATTATTCATTTTCTTTTCAGCTTTTCCCTTTATTAATCAGGGGTCGTCACAGCAGAATTAACCGCCAACTTATCCAGCATATGTTTTATGCAGCCGATGCCCTTCCAGCTGCAACCCATTACTTGGAAACACCCATACACTCTCATTCACACACATACACTACGGCCAATTTAGCTTATACCCAATTCACCTGTACCACATATCTTTGAACTTGAGGGGGAAACTGGAACACCTGGAGAAAACCCACGCGAACACGGGAAGTACATGCAAACTCCACACAGAAATGCCTTTGTAGAAACTGACCCAGCCGAGGCTCGAACCAGTGACCTCCTTGCCTCCGTGCTACCCACTGCGCCACCGTGCCGTCACAAATAAAACATTATAAAAATACAAATGAATTAAAATAAATACCACCACCACTTTGGTTTACGCTAATTTATACTTGTTTATACTTGCTTGTTCAAACTTCAACATTCATACTTAAATCATTAGATTTGTGTCCAGAAAACCACTATGTACATATGTGGACAAATAAAGTGCAAAATAATCAAACAAGCAAACCCCTGAATAACAACTAAATGGTAAGGGCAACACAATATGAATAGGATCAATTAAACTGCTTTCCACATTTTCATTTCCAATTCATTTTTCAGCCACTTTCACTGCATCTGTGGAGTACTGCAATTTTCAGAAAAAAACCCAGCTGTGTGATTCAAACATTCCCATAAAATAATGCTTTGATCACTACGCTGTCATTTGGTTTTTGGAGGTTGACAGCCTATTTTGTAGCCCTTGCAAATTATACTTATTCAAAGCGGCTGTTTTGCATGAGCTTTTGTTATTGCATTTTGATGGCAATAATACAAACTGGCAACTCCCTGTGCGAGGATTTCGAGATGAACCTTCAAGCTTCATTTGTCCTGCCTGCTTCAGGATGTGCTCATGGACCTGTCACAAATCAAGGTCCTTTAACAGAAGGCTGGGCATTAGTTTCCGGTTAAAGGGCAGCGGCTGGTGTTTTTTCGGCATGTGTGTATCATGAGACACCTGAAGCAATGGCTCTTCCTGTAAGTGTGGCTCTGCACACAAAGCCAGATAATGTCACGTAACAAAGAGATCGACTCTTTGTAGATTTCTTCTTCTAAGCGCTGACCTTTACCATATATGTGCAGCTACAGTGTTCTTGCATGCTGTGGAGAGCGATTGTGTTGATAAAGAGATGGGAGATGCTTATTTTCAGCCAGTCGCCTTTCTGCAGAAGTCAAATTGTGCGTGATTCATTTGTCATTCAACCGTGTGCTAGTTTGAGTAAAGACTCCTTTAGTCACAGTATATCAGCTTCAAGAGTGGCTGAACAGATTTGCTTTTGCTTTCTCAGAAGTGGCTTAATTCACAAATAAGATGGAGTTCTGCAAATGAAAGGTTTACACAGTTTATTTCACTCTTCTCAGATCTTAACTTTTTGTTTATACGATACATATCTGATTTTTATCTTTTGTGAAAATATTCAAAACTCATTATAGTTGACTTAAAATAGAAAATTAAAGAGAAGAAATTAATTTGTTCTTAGTTTTACATTATCTTTTTAAACAGTGCTCTACATAAATGAGCATGCCCCTCACAGATATCCCATTTAAATTCATATTTTCTATAGGATGCTTTAATAAATACATTAGATTAGTCAAAGCCCAAACTTAGAGCTAATTTAATAAAGAAAAAAAATAACGAAAAAAATATTTAAAATTTTTAATTTGTAGTTGTTATAATAACCGGTTTAAATTTAAACGCTTTTTTTTTTTTTTTTCCTAAAGATGTTTATTCATTTTCTTGTCAGTTTAGTCCCTTTATTAATCCGGGGTTGCCACAGCGGAATGAATCGCCAACTTATCCAGCAAGTTTTTTACGCAGCGGATGCCCTTCCAGCCGCAACCCATCTCTGGGAAACATCCACACACACATTCACACACACTCATACACTACGGACAATTTAGCCTACCCAATTCACCTGTACCGCATGTCTTTGGACTGCGGGGGAAACCGGAGCACCCGAAGGAAACCCATGCGAACACAGGGAGAACATGCACACTTCACACAGAAACGCCAACTGAGCCGAGGCTCGACCCAGCGACCTTCTTGCTGTGAGGCGACAGCACTACCTACTGCGCCACTGCTTCGCCCTTCCTAAAGATGTTATGTGACCAAACTCTTATTTTAATAATTATAACTGTTAAGTAAAACTGTTAACTGTTTAAATGCCAGAAACATTAATGGCTATATAATCACTGAGAAATAAATAAATATATATAAATTCATTTCAAAAAGGGGGTATATTTACTTTTTTTGTGCACTGTATTTTTTTTCCCATTTTGTCAAGAAAACAATTTTCACTTTACTTAAAACAAACAAAACAAAAAACAATCTATATAGATGGAAATAAATTCAAACTTAAAAAGTTATATAGATGCAAAAAGTAATAACAAAAATAAGCAAATAAACAAAAAAACGAAGCCGTAAATAAAAGCTAGAATAATACGTCTATATATATTAGTTAAAGTCAGAATTATTTGCCCCCTTTGAATTGTTTTCCTTTTTTAAATATTCTCCAAATTATGTTTACAGAGCAAGAACATTTTTACAGTATGTCTGATAATATTTTTCTTCTAGAAAAATCTTGGTCTAAGTTTAAAAAAAAAACATTATAAGGTCAAAATTATTAGCCCCTTTAAGCTATATCTTTTTTGATAGTTTACAGAACAAACCATTGTTAAACAATAACTTTCCTAATTAACCTATCCTGCCTAGTTAACCTAATTAACCTAGTTAAGCCTTTAAATGTCAATTAAAGCTGTATAGAAGTGTCTCGAAAAATACCTAGTAAAATATTATTTACTGTCATCACGGCAAAGATAAAATAAATCAATTATTAGAGATGAGGTATTAAAACTATTATGTTTCGAAATGTGTTGAAAAAAATCTGCTGAAAAAAAAAACGGGGGCTAATAATTCTGACTTCAACTATATATAGTGCTCAGCATAAAATCAACACAAATATCTCTTTTAATATTTTCTAAAGGATGTTTTGCTACAATACAATTTGTGTTTAAACAGGACAAATAAAGATAACAAAAATATTTCAAATTTTGTTGTTATTGCACTGACCTGTTTGAATTGAAATGTAATATATTTCATTCCTAAATGTTTTTTGACTAAACTCTTATTTTAATGGATCTAATTGTTTTATAAAACTAATAAATATTCCTTTTCAAATGGGGGTGCTTATTGAATTGTGAACTGTATTTTATTTCCACTTTGTCTAGGAAAGCATTTTGATTTTACTTAAAACAAACAAACAAACAAACAAACAAACACAAAAAATATACATATATTGATGGGAAAAATTCAAACTTAAAAAATTGTATAGATGCATAAAGTAATTAAAAATGACAAAAAGCATACTTATTTAAGTTATTAAAATGTTACTAATTTAAAAAATAATAATTCAAGCCATAAATAAAAACTGGATTAATATATCGATGTTAAACACTGGCAAAATAAATACATTTAATATTAAATATATTTATGACACCAAAAATTAATGCATGTAGATATATAGATTTTTCTTTCCCTTTGACTCTATGCATTGAGCGTTAAGCATAAAAACAGATTATTAACCCCACATTCCTGAGTGCTCTCTTTTTTCAGTATTTCATCTGTCACTCTCAAGAAGAAAGAGCAGAAGAAAAATACAGAAAGCTCTTCTAGTGCTGCCATACAAATACTGCATAACAATGCACCAATTAGCATAACATATATTTCACCTCCTTATTACTCACGCCCACCAATCCAACAGCAAGAAGCCTGTTAATGGATTCTGCAGAAGAGCTCTCTGCTATTTAACATCAGTCATCAGTCTGAATCTTTCCTTCTGCTCCGACAGATCCTGCCAATCACCACTCAAATTACTGACACGTTTCGCCTGGCACCATGCAGTGGAAGTGGGAATAAAGACAATAAAGCAACGGTCAGAGAATGAAGGGAACGGAGAGAAGAGGATAGAGTGAAGGAAAAGAGGCAGGGAGCTGGAAGAAAAAAGGGTGATGTCACTGGCTTCTGATCACAGCCAATCAGAGGCGAGCAGTGGAAGCGAGGGAGCAGGAGAGGGTGTGTTTTCTTCACACTGCAGCATCAGCAGTGAAGAGAGGCCACAATCAATCTGACACTGAGCTGGAGACACACAACCTTCAGGGACACCGAAAACGCCACACACAACCTGAAGCTCTTTCTGAACTGCAGAGGTAAGAATTGAAGCTTTTCAATAGTGTTTAACATCTGACGCATGTCAAACAGAATTGGCGTGATTTTTGCGGATTTTTTTTTTCCTTCTTGCGGTTAGATGATCACACCTTGGAGATTTAAGGTGCAGTGATGCTAGTGTGTGTGTGTGTGTGGTCTTGAATACTAGGGTGTTCTGGTGTTAATAACTGCATTGGGTTTATCATTTATGTTTGTTTTTAGCTATAATGTTACATTTGGCTTTTTTAAATAATTATCCAAAATAATAATAATATTTTTCTGTTAACTTTAGTGCATAAATTTAAAATATGAATGCATTTTTGAATATTTTTGCTCATTTATGTCTTCAATTTATTTTTGTGGAGTTGCCCCGTCTCATAAACAGAAACAGTCCTCTGGTGGATTCGCGCTCATCCCATGCGAGATCAGCAACAGGCTCTTGTGTTTTCATCTTTAATGCACGGCTGCATATTAGTGTTGCATATGCTGAACCGGTCTTCATATTGACCTATTCATAATGCAAACATTTGTTTTGTTTAGTTTATTAGCATAAATACCTGGAAGTTGTTTCATAAAGGTACTTCTGCTGGAGTATTATTATTTTAAGGTGTTACTATCACTGTCACATGTTAATAATTGATGTGTTGATCTATGTGATTGTTGCTCCCTCCCCCATGCTTTAGTCAGGCTGTGTAATTGTGTTAATCACCCGTGAGAGGAGTATTGTGGTGTTAAGGGTACTGGTGGTCCGCATTGGTGTCTGTTGGGGTGTTCGTTACAAAACAAATAATGATGCTTTGATTGGGCAGACGCCAGTGGCAAGGAGAGCATGAGGAGGACTGGGTGTGGCCTGCATTTATTTAGTGTGTTAAATGCAGACACACTCACCTGGCAGCAGGCCAGCATGTTTGATTCAGGGTGGGTCTCGCTCAGGTTGCTGATTATTAGCTCTGTTAGCAAAGTTTATGGCATGAGGCGATTGTCATTCGATTGCACTGAATTGCTATTGATTCTTGCTAAAATGACTGCACACTGGTGCAGTGATTATGTTTGTGTTTTTGTTCTGTAATATTTCTATGATGCTTTGAGTATTTTAAACAATTTTACTGTTGAAATTATATACAGCTATGGAAAATAAATTAAGAAACCACTTGAAAATCCTTAGCTGGGTGGGGGTTCTGGAGTTATTAGGTATGGATTTAAGAAAAATGTTAATATTTGTGTATTTTATTCAATAAATGTCTGCTTGAATTTTGTTTTAAAATTCTGCTATTTAGAGCTTTTTTCCCCAGAAAATGACAGCTGATTAGAGACAATCTTTTTATTTGTCAAAACTGATAATAACCAAATAATGATTTCTTAACTCTTCTGGGTTTTTTTTAATCAAGTGTTAGTTTATAATTATTATTTATTTTATTATTATTTATTCATCTATTTATTTAATTATATATATATATTAATGTGTTTTATATTTTATATATTTAATTCTTGCTGCTAAAGTACTGTGAATGTAGCATCATTATTCATTTTTCTGGTATTATATTGAAAATAAACTATTATTCAACCATAACATTAAATATTGCATTTATATAAAAATTTAAGTAATTATGTTTATAGTATAGCATATAAATATATAATGTATTGCAACTTTGATAAAAGTTGATGATCCACTTCAAATTTTCACTACTATATATACAGTTGAAGTCAGAATTATTAGCCCCCCCCCCCTTTAATTTACTTTATATATTTTATATATATATATATATATATATATATATATATATATATATATATTTACTTTATATTTTTCTGAAGAGAGTCTTTTAAAAAAATTAAAAACCATTTTAAGGGCAAAATTATTAGCCCTTTAAAGCTTTTTTTTTTTTTTTTTTTTTTTTACAGAACTAGCCATCATTATACAATAATTGGCCTCATTACCCTAACCTGCCTAGTTGACCAAATTAACCTAGTTAAGCCCTTTAAATGTCACTTTAGGCTGTATAGAAGTGTCTTGAAAAATATCTAGCAAAATATTATTTACCGTCATCATGGCAAAGATAAAATAAATTAGTTATTAGAAATTAATTATTAAAACTATTATGAAATGTGTTGAAAAAAGTCTTCTCTCTGTTAAACAGAAATTGAGGGAAAATTAAAAGAGGGGCTAAAAATTCTGACTGATTCTGAATAAATTCGGTTATATATACCTGCACAAAATACCTGCATAATGTCACAATATTGTTCGAAAATTGTTCCATGGAAGCACATTAATACCATAAAGAATACCATACCAAAACCATGAAATTACATAAACATTTACCCTTACTCAAAAACTGTGCATGTATCATCTTACATTGCTTTAGGCTTTCAAATAATGTGAAAATATGACTTTGTACACTTGTGCCTTGTACACTCTTTCATTAACCCTTATTAAAAAAGTTCTGTCCATGTTTAACAATGATTTCTATATTTGTAAAACATGATGTTTTTTGTCAATTTAAAAAAAAAAAATGTTGCCATTAAACTTGTTTTTTGATGTTGAATGTCTTTTTAAAAAATTGTTAGCGAAAAAGATTTAAGATTCTTCAAAAAATCCCCTAAAAATGATGATGAATTTGTTGTAGAATTAATATTATATTAATTAAAAGCCCTTAAAAATACTATATTGATACCTTATAAAACTTATATTTTATTTAATTTTATATTATTTAATTTTATTTTTATTTATTTAACACATGCTAGTTTCTTTTGACTGTATATAATTTCCAACACCCTTTCGTTGTGTAGATCTGCTAATAGCGGGTTATCCCCAGTTCATCTCCTTGTGACAGAATTTACACCAGCATCCTGTCGCTCACACACAATGACTTGTGTATCTTTTCAGGATAAATCGTTGGGAATTGATTATCGACAGGGTGTGTACATAGGCTATGCTCAGGTGCTCAATTCGTGAGAGTGTGCAGTGATATCCTGTCTCCGTTCCACATCCATCATGCTGTAGCTGATCCTACGTTTACTCTGCCATACAAACACAGGGAAAATATGATCTGCCTCTGCAAAATCTTCTCTCCTCAGAGGCGGAGGCTTTAATTGAGCTGTGCGCACAGATGGATGGACGGGCTGGAGAGATTTAGGAAGGATGAAAGAAAGGAAAGTGGGGTGGGGTCACGTTTGACAGGCCAAGCCATTGCACAGGCCTATAATATATGTGCACTTATGCTGTCGAAGGAGATCAACAGAGAGAGAGAGAGAGAGAAAATGAGTACAAGGTCAATAGTGAAGGAACAGGAGCGAGGAGGAGTCTGTTAAAAGAAGGAATAAGAAAAAAAGCCATCAGTCTTGTTGGACGGCCTCTGTTTTGACCTTCTGGACAGACGACAAGTCTCCTGGTAATAATGACGCTATTGTCACACATAGAGCTGCTTATAGCTGAACTGAGCTCATTTCATAATTGAACCTTACACAGTTTTTGGGCAGAACTGAATCAACACTGAACTGACTTGGGCTGCATAGTCTCACTATTGTCTTCGGTATAATAGAGCTGAATCTCGTATTTGGTTAACTTTGCTTTATTGATTGCTTTAAAACAGTTTGTGTTGTGTAAAGGGCTATGTAAATAATGATGAAGTGTCATATCTCCAAAATTACACAGACGTGGTTCAATGCGGGTTGTTGAAATAAAAGGATTTACTGTCCATTTCTTTCAACTGATGTATTTTTTGACACTGTCAGTGTCATCTTTGGCTTGCTTGGTTGGAGTTTATAATGGACTTTTCAATCCTTTCATTGCTTTTGTGGTATTGATACTGTCCAATAGCACAGACATTGAACAGGATGGTGACCTTTCTGTTTTATCTAGAGTAGCTTTATAGCGGTTTGGATCTTTCATGATTGACTTTTTCATTATTGATCAGACTGAATAACATGAATAAATTACATTTGTAATTGACTTTTTTCCATTACTGATTAAATTCATTTAAATTAAAAAAAGACACTTTTTTTTCTTCTGTTTTACATTCAAATCAATGTTTCATAATAGATGAATTTTTAAAAATGGTTCAAACTTAAGCTGCATAACAACGACTATGTTTACAAAGGCATCCACAATCGAATTATTTGCCTTAATCTGAATAAGACAATAATATAATTAAGATGTTTACAAGAGTTGGTTTTTGAAAGTTCCTTTCATGATCCCGTTTTACATGTTATAGCACATAATTCGATTAAGTCATTGTGTCACCACACTATCCACATTTCCTCCAGAGTTTCATGTAATTTCAGGAGTTTAATTTTTAATTTGTTGACTTTAACTGCAGTTTGGCACTTTCACTTGCATTCAGGAACAATTCATGTATGCCCCTCGTGACAAACGAGATATCGGATGAGAGTATGAACTGCTGGAAGAGTATTGTTTTAATAGAATTTGATAACACATGCCATATGGTAAAAAAAAAAAAACTTTGCATTTGGCTATGCAGGTGTCTTTAGTCCTTTACTAACTCAGTAGGTGCAGAGAATAGTGTCAAACAACCGTGTGTGTATAGACTATCCTGTCACAAAAAGCGGCGAAAATCCTACATGACAGTAATAGTTTCATTGCGATGTTTACATGTTTGTACTGCACTTCAATAATGCGTCTAAAATCGGCATACTCAATTTGTCTTAATCCGATCTCTGTTTAGTTTGATTATGACCTTAATCTGATTAAATTAATCAAAAATTGCGGTTTACATGGTCGACTCTTAGTTTTGACTTAAATATTTTTAATTATTGATATCAATTATTTTTAATTATTAATATCCAAATGTTGTCTTGTGAAGCTGATTTAACTTTGTTTTGTAATGAATGTTTTACAACATGATTAAACTCACTGAAGCTAAATACTGTCAATGGTGTCTTTTGAAGAGTGGCTTGTAGCTGAATTGCAAAATGAATAATTTTTGAGTAAAAAATCTACTGTTGTCTTCAATATAGATTTTCATTTGACACAATGACATTAGTT